TGACAGCGCTCAGGCCCAGAGTTCAGGCCCTATGACCGGACCCCCCCCCCCAAAAAAAAAAAAAAAAAAGATGTATTAGGCAGCTGCCAGTCTTGTAGGCCAATCCACTATACAGAAACCTAATGCATATAAATACATGCATACATGTATATATATACATATATATGTATATGCACATATTCTTTAAAATAATGGTAAAAAGAAAATAGTATGATCTGGGTGCTGGTAGCTCATGCCGGTAGTCCTAACTACTCAGGAGTCTGAGATCTGAGGATCGTGGCTCAAAACCAGCCAGGCAAGAAAGTCCATGAGTTTCTTATCTCCAATTACCTACCAGAAAATAGAAGTGGAGTGCTAGTCTTGAGTAGAAGATGCTCAGGGACAGCACCCAGGCCCTGAGTTCAAGCCCTAGGACAGACATACAACAGAAGGCAAATAGTAAATTGAATAAGTAAATTCCTAAACCAGTAGCATAGTATTTTGTAATCGTCAGGAAGTATGTCCTACACATGATTTTGCGTGTTGTACTTTATGCAGTAGGTAACATGGTAGGTCATTTCTACCAGCATCACACTGGGGTAATGCCCTGCACTAGATGGTAGTATGGCTATTTCAGCATACATAGGAATTTTCAACTCAATTACAATCCTAGGGATTGTTGTTATGCAGTACATGACTGTAGACAATAGTGTCTACAGAAACCAGATGCTGATAGCTTATGGTTAAAATCTTAGCTACTCAGGTGGATGAGATCTTAGGATCATGATTTGAAGCCAGTCCAAGTGGATAAATCCTAGACTCTTATCTCCAATTAACCAGCAAAAAGCCAGAAATGGAGGTGTGGTACAAGGGTAGAGCATCAGCATTGAGTGAAAAATCTAAAAGGTGTGAGGCCCTGAGTTCAAGTCCCAGTACAAGCATACAAAACAACAACAAAAAAAGCCACAACGAAAAAAACTTCTAGAAAGCCAGGTGATGGTGGCTCATGGATGCAATCTTAGGTATCAGGGAGGGTCAGATCAAGGAGTACTTCAGTTCTAGGCTACCCCATAGCAAAACATCCACAAAACTCATCTCAATGGAAGAAGCTGAGCATGGTGGTGCGTACCTGTCATCTCAGCTACTACAGGAAACCTAAAACAGGAGGATCCCAGTCCAAGTGTGTGCCTCAAAAATAGGGATCTCTATGCTGGGCACCTGTAATCCTAGCTACTCAGGAAGTTGAGATCTGAGGACCATGGTTCAAAGCCAGCCTGGCAGGAAAGTCTGTGAAACTCTTATCTCCAATAAACCACTCAGAAAACCAGAAGTGGTGCTGTGGCTCAAGTGGTAGAGCACTAACCTTGAGCTGAAGAGCAGAGGGACAGTGCCCAAGCCCAGAGTTCAAGCCTGACGACCAACCCCCACCCAAAAAATAGAGCTCTCCAGTAACAAAAAAGGGCTGAGGTTATGGTTCAAGTGGTAGAGTGCCTACCCAAGTAGGTGTGAGGCTGAGTTTAAACCCCAGAACAACTCAACAACAACAACAAAGCCATACTCTGGAGAAAAGGAAAATGACAAGGATGGGTGGTGTTATTTGGCAAGATAGGTGGGTGGATATCCCAATTTGGTGTGTGTGTGTGTGTGTGTGTGTGTGTGTGTGTGTTGCGGGGGAGGGGAGACAAGAATGCCCTCAGTGGCTTGCAGGCCATGGTTGGGGCTTTATGTCTGCTTCTGAGTGAAATAGGAGGCAAAGACTTCTAGACACTGGCGAGGAGCCTGCAAGTGGGTGTCAGAGGCCAGAAAGGGCCGGAATCCACCTTGGCAGTGGAGGTGTGAGAAGTGACTGGATATGATGGATCACAGTTGACCATGATGCGACACAGAGCAGGACACCAGAGAACACCTGTTCCTTCAAAAGAATCCTGTCCTGGCTCTCCTCCTTCCCAGGTGCCACACAGGGAGAGGTTCTGACAGTTCTCACAAGTTCTGGCCTCTTCGCTGCCAGTCATGGAGGGAGGAGACCTACCCATCAGTGGGCACCCTATAGAAAGCTCCAGCTTGCAGGTTGGGGCCTCGGCCTCTACAGGGCTCTGGCACCTGTGCATGTGGCGTGAGTGGTTAGGTAACTATGAAATTTGGGGGTACGCTTTTGGAGCCACAGCATGCACACTCCATGACTCCTGTCTTCCCCACAGTGGACCTTATGCAACAGGGAACTCAGAGAACAGCATGTGGCCAACATACTCCGGAAATCTGGAAGAGGTCCACGTCAGGCTGAATCAATCAGCACTCCCCACGCCCAGGGCAAACATAAGAGGCTTGTTTTGAAGATTGGATATGAGCCCTGCCCAAGCCTTCATAGACAATCTTGCATTTCAGAGTAGAATAAAAACAGACAATCCAAGGTCTAATCCCTAAAACCCCAACTGTAGGGAGCAAAGGTCTGGATTATGCTACACCCCACATTTGAATATTGTTCTTTCTTTGTCACGCAAACTTCCTGGGCTGGGTCTCCAGGGCCAAGTGGGTGGGAAGGAGGGGTCTTTAAATATGAAATCTCTTGGCTCTTGTTTATTCCAGGAGCCCCAGCTACTGGGAGAGGCTGTGTCAAAGGTAATCCTCGTCTCCCAGCTTCCTCTCTCTCTCCTTTAGGTGGGAATTGCTGGGTAGAGTGTGCATTTGGAAGGTCAAAGTCTTGCATCTTTTCAGGAGGTACCATCTCCTGAGCATCCTCCGGTGGGTCCTCAGCACCTGGAGGTAAAGGTTCCGTAGATCTGTGGAGCAAATGGCCTCCCCGACCCTTGGAAGGCAGCAGGGCTGAGAAGCTAAGGATGTACAGTTTGGGTAGAGATACATTCTGAGTTCAAACTCTGGCTGGAGTGCTTGCTGACAGAGAGGCTGACAGAGCATTGAACCATTTTCAGTCCCACTTTCCTCATCGGTGAAGCAGACTTCTACCTGTCCCCGATTCTTGAGCATTTACTCTGACCTTTTCTGAGGACTTAAGTGGGGGCAGGAGGGGGAGCTAGAAATAGGGAAGGCTGGGGCAAAGTTAAAGTTGGCACTCTGAAGGAAAATGGATGTGAGAATTCTGGAAAGGAGGCTTGACCTCCAAGGTGGGCTGTCTCTAAGTCAGGATCAGTGGCTCGGGTCAACACTGCTCTTGTTTGGGTGCCAGGAAGGACATCAGATGCTTTGTGTCTCTGTTAGTCTTTCAGCCACCCTCTGAATCAGCACTATGGTTGTTAACCTGAACTTGCAGAGGAAACGGAGAGGCCTGTCATTCACAGAGAACACACAAATCTGAGTTTGGGGAGAGGTGACATCGAGGGTGCCAATGTAACCAGCTCCACCCATACCAGACTCTTCTCCCCTGGTTGCTTGCTCTTCATGGCCCTGGTTTGATCATACCAGGGAAGAAAATAGGGTGTCCCTGAACAGCTGCATGGCTGAGGTCATGGTCAGCTGGAGGGACCTGGCCTGCAGGCAGGTAGGGTTAAGGGACCCCACTGAGAGTGATCCCAGCTTCTGTCATACAATAGGAGAGGTCTATGGCATGTGGGCTTGGGGTATCCTAGAAACTAGAGCATCCATCCTCCTTATACAAAATCCTGGAGCTAAGGCTGGGAGCGGGGGTCCAGCATTACATGGGCAAGAGGGGTAACAGGAGGAATCAGAAAGAAAATTTGAGCAGGATCATGTATCTATAGCCAATACAAGTATATATATATATATATATATATATATATATATATATATATATGTATGTATGTGTATGTGTATGTGTGTGTGTGTGTGTGTGTGTGTGTGTGTATAAGATGGGTTTTTTGGTTTTTATTTTTGTAAAAGAGAAATAGCACCTTACCATACCAAAAGTTAGAAGCACTGTCTGTGAGTGGGTTGAGCATTGTGGAAGGGGTAAAAGGAACCTCTGTGGAGCTGAGCCTGACGCTGAAGAAGAAGAAGGAAGAGAAAGGAGGAGAGAGGCACTTTCCTCTGTGCCTCCATTTGTCTCTCTTTTGCTTCTCTCCATAAGCATGTATTGTGTCTTCAAAACTGTAACGAGACAAAGATACAAGCTCATTACAAAATGTCAAACATTGTAGAAAAAGTTTGGGCATAGCTCAGGATAAAACACATTTAGCATGTATGAAACAAAGAAAGAGAAAAGGGAGGGAGGAAGAAAGAAAAAAGAAGGGGTGAGGGAGGAAGATAGGAGAAAGAGAAAGAAAGGAAGAAGGAAGCAAAAATCACCAATAATTGCACTCTCATCACTTTTGGTTTTTTCCTGCATTATGCAAACCCCGCTCCCCCCTCCCCCCAACACACCCTAGTAACCTGATCCTTTCTTATCCCTAGAGCCTGGGAAACATCTGCCTTGGACCTGCTGAATAGCTTTTCTCTTTCATTTCTAAATAATTCAACAGGAGGGTGTGGCTTAGTTCATTTAAACTACCTCCTGCTGAGCACTTCCAATATTTCAGTTACATACAGTGATGACTTTCTTGTTCATGAATGTTTAGGAATTGTGATTACTAGAAACTCGAGTATGCACTGTCACAAGTTCCTTTGGAAGACGTTTGCTAGATATTGCCCTATCACATCCAGAAGAATCATCCCAATTCGCCAGTGTTATTTCTTCTATCAGAGGAAATTACTGCTACATTTTTTGCATAGAAATCCGAAACCCTGTGAGGTTGCTTGGCATTGGGCTGTGCTACACGGGTGTATCACACACTGATGTAAAAACCTAAGCCTGGTTCAGCTCTGTCAAGGATCCAGTGCTTTTGAGAACAATGACTTAGTCAGAAAGGTTGGTCTGAAATTCATCCAATCTAATCTGGAATGCTACCCTGGCCCTGTCCACAGCACATATCCAAGATCCCACCACCAGCTACTCTGCTTAGGATGGTGTCACTGCTTCCTTGACTTCATTGCAGATCATTATCATCTCTTCTGGGATGTGACCATCCACCTTTCCTGCTGCTGCAAGATGTTCTCTGCTCCCTACAGGTACCATGAGCAAGATCAGCGACTCGGTGAAGCAGGCCCGGAGCGCGTTCAATTCAGGTCGGACGCGCCCGCTGCAGTTCCGGATCCAGCAGCTGGAGGCGCTGCAGCGCATGGTCAAGGAGCGCCAGACTGACATCGTGGACGCGCTGGCTGCCGACCTGCACAAGGTGCGGGGGTCCCCAGGGCAGCGGGGGGCGCGGGAAAGCTGGGCAGAGATGAGACAGGACAGGGCGGGGGAGGGGGCCGTTGCAGCTTGCTCATGACGTATTTACCGTGTATCCGGGGCTACGTGCCCAGGACCACACTCTCCCCAAACACTGCAAGTGTTATAACCATGTTATAAGAGGGGAAACAGTGAAAGGATTGGGGGATGATTTGGGGGTGGCGTGGGGCCGCCACACCTACCACCTGCTGAGATGAGGTTCACTTCCTTCTTCCTTCTTTGCTGGGCAGGGTCTCTGTCTGGTCATATGTCACCTTTCTCTTCTTGCCTTCTTGATCTAGTCTGCAGCAGGGCATCCATTTCAACCATCTGCCTGCGTGATAACCCAAACTTCGAGTCCCCTCATCCCTCAGCCCCATTGAGCCCTCCCTGGTTCTCCACATCCGGTGGCAGACCAGAGCTTCTTCCTCCCTCCCGGTCCCCAGGAGGCCGCTCCATCCCTCAGCCTGATAAAAAGCAGATACTTCCCAATTTCCAAATGTTTCACCTTGCTTCTACCCTATTTGTACCTGGGAGGAGAAAGGAGGTGCAGGTGCACCCCCCAATAATCCCTCTAGGTCACATCTCTACTGTTTCATGGCTTACCTACCAAGTATGCTCTGTCTGTGCTCCTGAAGTTTTAAAAATGGCTAAAGACAGCCGGGCACCGGTGGCTCACACCTGTAATCCTAGCTACTCAGAAGGCTGAGATCTGAGGATCACGGTTCAAAAGTCATCCTGGTCAAGAAAGTCTGAGACACTCATCTCCAATAAACCATTAGAAAACTGGAAGTGGCACTGTGGCTCAAGCGGTAGAGCACTTGCCTTGAGCTGAAGAGAGCAGAGACAGTGTCCAGGCCCAGAGTTCAAGCCCCATGACAAAAAAAAAAAAAAAAGCTAAAGATTTTCTCACTGTAAACCACAGTGAAAAAATTCACCCTGATGGTACCAAGTTCATAAAAATGGTGTACATTTACCCAGTGAGGAGGCTCATTTTTTTTTTTTTTGGTCTGGTCATGGGGCCTGAACTCTGGGCCTGGGCACTGTCCCTCAGCTCTTCAGCTCAAGGCTAGCACTCTACCACTTGAGCCACAGCGCCACTTCCAGCTTTTTTTTTTTTTCTGCTTATGTGGTGCTGAGGAATCGAACCCAGGGCCTCATGCATGCAAGGCAAGCACTCTACCACTGAGCCAACTTCCCAGCCCGAGGAGGCTCATTTTTATAATCTCAGATATTCCTGAGCTGGAGACTGGGGGTGGGGATTGTGGTTCAAGGACAAATGGGGCAAAAGTTTAGTGAGATCCTATTTCAATCAGTAAGCTGGGCATGGTGGTGCACACATTTTAATCCTAGCTACTTGGGAGGCTGTAGGAAGGAAGAGTTTGGTCTGAAGGAGACCCCAGGCAAAAAACACAAGACTCTACTTGAAAAATACCAAAAGCAAAAGACGGTTGGAATAAGGCTTAAGTGAGAGTATCTGCCTAGCAAACTTGAGGACCTGAGTTCAAACTTTAGTACTGCCAGAAAAAAAAAAGTACATATTTGTATCTGTGTCTCCTCTCTCCTTACCCATCTTCTACTCCAGGAGGACCTAAGCCCCTACAGCAGTCCTTGGTCCCCTGTCTGCTCCCTGCCTGCAGCTTTTCTCCTGATCTTAGAAGCTTCTTCCCTGTACCCACTTTTTTTAGGATGGTCTGCGAAAGCTGCCTTTCCAAGTTCAAGTTTCACTTTGTTCCATAAGCTTTCCAGACAGCACATCAATTCCATTCCTGTGACCTTCAAATCTATTCTCCATTCCCTCACTAGCCTTGTCCCTCAGGCACCTCACTAGGGACAGATCCAAATATGCCAGGGCTCCCAGTCTGGTAGAGAGGAGGGGCCCTCTACTCTGCTCAGGCTGGGAGCTGACTGGGAGTCCTCTGTAGAATGAGTGGACTGCCTACTACGAGGAGATAGAGCATGTCATGGATGAAATTGAGAACACGGTCAAGAATCTCACAGAGTGGGCTGCTGATGAGCCCGTGGCGAAGACTCGTCAGACCCAGCAGGATGAAGCCTACATCCACTCGGAGCCCTTGGGTGTGGTTCTCATCATCGGTGCCTGGAACTACCCCTTCAACCTCACCATCCAGCCCATGGTGGGCGCCATTGCTGCAGGTAGGGGGGAAGGGGGTGTCTCTTCTGGGATGGGCTTGAGCCTGTGGGGAGATGAGAGAGTCATAGGATGCTTGCAAGACCAAACCATTTAGCTAGGTCTCCAAGTGCCCAAGGGCAGGCAGGATCAGGTGTTCACAAAGCTAGCTGGCCCTATCCCTGTATATGTGGGCAGGAGATGGCCCACTCTCAGCCAATACGTATCAAGAGGGGCCAGCACTGCTCTGGGTAGGCCCAGGCCTGAATCTCTCTCTCTCTCTCTCTCTCTCTGTATCCTTTCACATTTTCTTCCCTGACCCTTCAAGCGCAGCACTAGATAGCATGTGCCAGTGTATGTACTTGGGCGTGCTCCTGAAGTATGTACCTGTGCATATTTCTATGATGTATGTCTGAAACTCTTCCCTTCTTTTTCAGAGGACACATATGATGGAGGCTCTAGGCTTGGTCTGTGTGTGTGTGGGGACAGATTGTTTGGAGGGTAGCCTGGGTGTGACCCTGACTCTGTGTGCTCTGCAGGAAATGCAGTGGTCCTCAAGCCTTCAGAGGTGAGCGAGAACATGGCCATCCTGCTGGCTACCATCATTCCTCAGTACCTGGACAAGGTGAGGTACTCTCTAGGGCTCACAGGTAACTTTGTTGGGGCCAGGCCTTTGGGTCTTGAGGAATAGCAAATTCATATTTTTTGATGGTAGTGGGGATTGAATTGAGGGATTCCAGCTTGCTAAGCATCCACTCTACCAAGTGGAAGAGCCATTTGAGTTACTCTCCCAGCCCAGGAACAGTGAGTTCTTGCAGCATGGGTCTAGCCACAGATGGGAGAGAATGTAGCCTTAGCATTTGCCTTCTCCCATTGGGGTGAACTCCATCCAGGTGGAATGCTGAGTAGCAGGGCTGCTAGTCTCAGCCATTGCCCATTCTACATGCTTGGCTTTTGCTGAGCCAACCTCTCTCTTCTTGTTTGGAAGGATCTATACCCGGTGATCACTGGAGGTATCCCTGAGACCACAGAGTTGCTCACTCAGAGATTTGACCACATCTTGTACACGGGGAGCACAGGTGTGGGGAAGATTGTCATGGCAGCTGCTGCTAAACACCTGACCCCTGTCACACTGGAGCTGGGAGGCAAGAGCCCTTGCTATGTGGACAAGGATTGTGATTTGGATGTGGCCTGCCGGTGAGGATCTGGGGTTGGGTGGCTGCAGCAGCCTTCCATTTGTCTTTTGACACAGACCTGTACCAAAGCACTGTGGTTCTGCTCTGCCTAGCACAGATGCTCTCCACCCCACAGAGCTCACCATCCTCAGCAAAAGCTGCCAGGGTAGTGGGAGTTGGGCAGAGGAGGGGGACTCCATTCATAAAGAGATATAAGGATCCTGAGGAACCTTCTTAGAGGGGAGAGCTCCATGTGGAGCTCTGATCACTTTGAGGGTCACTGGGGAAGGAGTACTCTAAGCAGGGACTGAAGAGAACAGTAGGCCATTCAGGGCATGGACAACGTTGCTAAGTCCAGTCTTCTGCTGGGGCATGGGCTGATATGAGGTCTGGTTCTCATCTCTGGATGGAGGACTTGGATCTGCATTGTCTCACCCTAGCCATGGCTCTGGCTACCTTTGTATCCTTCATGTGTGGTCTCTCCAAGTGGAGGGATGACATCTAAGCCTTTACGAACATGATCAAGCTGGACATGATGGGCGCACACTTGTCATCCTTGGTGGGTGGAGGTAGGAGGATCTGGAGTCCAAGGCCAGCCTGAGCAAAGTCATGATAATCTAACTCAAAAACAAAACATAAACCAAAGGACTAGGGATACCTTCAGTGTATGGTACATCACTTGCCTAGCATGTAAGAGGCCTTGAGTTCAATCTCTAGTATCTCAAACAAAAGAAAAGAAAAAAAAAAACAAAGAATGAAAGACAGAAAACCTGTTCACCCTAAATGTGCTAAGAAATCTCCCACCTGTCACACAGTGGCTCCGGGAGGGGCTGGGTCTGTTGAATCCAGTGGGCTGAAGTAAATAGGTTGCTTTAATGGGACTCACTGGTGCCAGCTCACAGCCTGTGGCACCTGTGGACCAGTGGGTTCTCCTCTAGCCTTGATCCTGTGTACACCGAATAAGACATACGTTCTCAGGAGCCTCTTTGAATGTTTTCCACTTGGGGTTTTTCACAGACGCATTGCCTGGGGGAAATTCATGAACAGTGGCCAGACCTGTGTGGCCCCTGACTACATCCTCTGTGACCCCTCGATCCAGAACCAAATTGTGGAGAAGCTCAAGAAGTCACTGAGAGTGAGTGTGGGCCCCAGGGCTGAGGAGGGGTGGGAGATGTATGGTAGAGGTGGGCATGATGCCACCAGTGATTTCTAGAACTCTTGGAAATCCCAGATGGCTTTTATTTTGATCAGAAAAGGACTATGCAATGCAGTTAATTTGGAAGAGACTAAAAATCAGAAAGGGGGGAAAATGCCTCACCCAGAATCCCATTCTCCTGGCATATGGCTGGGAAGCCTTTGGCCATAATTAGGGTCTGTGTCCTTCCCTGAAGCCTCCCCCCATCCCATCTCTTCTCAGGAGTTCTATGGGGAGAATGCCAAGCAGTCCCGTGACTATGGAAGAATTGTCAGTGACCGGCACTTCCAGAGAGTGATAAGCCTGATTGAGGGCCAGAAAGTGGCCCACGGGGGCACCTGGGATGCGGCTTCTCGCTACATAGGTGTGTGCCCAGCCCTCAAGAGTGAGCCTATCTGCCTGCCTGGTCTTCGGGGTCCCCAGCAAGTTTGTAGCAAGTGGGCACAAATATTTGACAAGACATGTTTTTACTAGTGGGCTGGTGGTAGGTGACCCCCCCCCCCAACCCCCATCCTGAGGCTCTCAGCCAGTGGGGGCAGAAGACAGCTTTTAAGAAGCCCTCTCTCAAGCTGGGTGTGAGAATATGGTACCTGTAACCCCAGCACTTGGGAGGCGGAGGTAAGAGAATCAAGAGTTCAAGGCCAACCTGGGTTACATAGTGAGACTCTATCTAAAGAACAACAAGAAGGAGGAGGAAAAGGAGGAGGAAGGCGGGGAGGAAGCAGTCTTCTCAACCCCAGAAGCCTCTATTCCACAAGGCCAGAGAGAGGCTCCATTTCCCTCATCTCTGATGTGAGCAGTGAACAGATCAATAGAGGCCACAGGAGCTCTAGGTGGGCCAAGCTGTGAGAAGTCCCCAGTACACAGGCTAGGGAACTGCCAGATGGGGCAGAGACAGAATAACTCAAGTAGGGATGCTGGTGGCCAGCAGGAATAGTTCAGACCGAGCTTCTGTCCCTAACTACTAGTCATAATCTGCCAGGATGGAGTCTTAGACACAGTGGGACCATGGAAATAGCTCTCTGGGGCCTTGTCCCTAAGCCTGAGCAGCTTTATCCACAAAACAATGGAGGCAGGAGCTTGAGCTTACACCGGCTGGCTGCCTGGAGGGTCTCAGCACCAGCAGACTCTAGCTCCTTTCCTGCCTCAGCCCCCACTATCCTCATTGACGTGGACCCGCAGTCCCCGGTGATGCAGGAGGAGATCTTTGGGCCGGTGATGCCTATTGTGTGTGTGCGCAGCCTGGAGGAGGCCATCCAGTTCATCAACCAGCGCGAGAAGCCGCTGGCTCTCTACGTTTTCTCCAACAATGACAAGGTGGGCTTGGGAGTCCTCGCAGCACCCTGGGCTCCAGGGCACAGACTCAAAGAGGATTTAGGTGATTCACAGATTGCAGCTTTGCTGTTCAATCCTGTGTGACCCTGGGCAAGTTACTTAACTTTTCTATGCCTCTCTGGCTTCATTTCTAAGATGACAACAGCAGCATCATACGAGAACTATGAAAAAGGTAGCCGTGGGCCTGGTGCATTGTGTGGTCATGGGAGCTATCATGTGATATTTGGGGATGACTAGAGATGGTGGCTGGGGCTGAGGATGTGGAAGGCAGTGGCTGGGGTTCTGGGACATGCTCAGACTGGTGGGGGAGGCAACCCTTGGGCAGTATGAGGCCAGCATCTGGTTCTTGATGTAGGTCATTAAGAAGATGATTGCGGAGACATCGAGCGGTGGAGTGACGGCCAACGATGTCATTGTTCATATCACTGTGCACTCTCTGCCCTTTGGGGGCGTGGGTGAGTCTGGGGTTGAGCTCACTGCCTACTTCCATCCCTCCCTCTTTTCCATCCCTCTCCCTTCCTTTCTTCCTCGGTCCCTCAATTTCTCCCTCACTTTCCCCCAGGGCAGGAAAAATCCATCTTGGAAATTAGGCAGACCAGGAGCAACCTGGGGCTTCAGAGTCCCATTGACCTCTCTCATTTGGTCTTTGGCCTCTGTCTTGGAGCCTTATGGGGTCCTAAAGGTCACCTGACACTGGCTGGTTTTACAGGGATTTCAAATCAGGGGGTCATATGGCCATTTAGTGGTATATCTGAAAGCAAATTCTTCCTGGGCACTTTTTGTCGTCTTTGGCATGGATACCCTGAAGGACTCCCTGGGGACTTGATTTCTCCAGGAGCTCAAAAGCAAAAGGGACTCAGGAGGGTTTTCAGCACAACCTGGGGCCAGGTTCTCAAGCAGACATGTCTCCATAGGGTACAGTGGTATGGGGGCCTACCACGGCAAGAAGAGCTTCGAGACCTTCTCTCACCGCCGTTCTTGCCTGGTGAGGTCTCTGCGGAACGATGAAGTCCACAAGGCCAGATACCCCCCAAGCCCAGCCAAGGTGAGAAGTGGAGAAGGGGGGGGCAAGTGGGACAAAGGCAAGGCCTTGAGCCTCACTGTCCTCTCCCTGTCCTTCCTCACAGATGCCCCGGCACTGAGGAGGGTTGCTTTGCCTGGCTAGTTCATGCTGTGCTCCAATGGAGGGTAGATGTCCTCATTTGCTTTCCTGCCCCTTGAAGCATTGCCTCTGGGAGACCCCAGACTTGACCTCTTGCTCCTCAGCCAACCCAATCAACCTGACTCTAAGATGGACCCTGGGCCTTCCCTTTCCAAGCAGTGCCCCTTGCTAGACACAAAGAGACCAATAAAGCTTTTTAGAATGGAAAACATTTGTGCAATTTGTCCTCTGCACCTTCCAGTCATCAGCTGTGTCCAACCTGACTATTCTGCCCTCCTAGTTTGATTATTCTGATGAGCCCAAGAAGGTTTCCTCCCACACTCTCAGGGCCTTGGGGTCAGGGTGAAGATGATTCACAAGGCTGTGGCAGAAATGACTGAGAGTCATAGGTTAGCCTGGGCTACACACATACATAGAGAGATCCAACAAAAGCAAACAAACATTAGGGATGGGATGCAGCTCTGTGGTAAAGTACTTTGAACTTGGTCCTGGGTTTCATCCCCAGCACGCACATGCGCTCTCTCATTCCCTGTCTCTCTCTCTCATCCTCTCTCATTCTCTCTCTCTCTCTCTCTCTCTCTCTCTCTCTCTCTCTGCAGGAATACAACGTTCAGAGAGCTTACACCCAGCCTTTCAGTTTGTGTGGGCAGTATCCAAAGACAAAATGACAACAAATCTAGCTTTAAAGACTTTAACTTGGGGGCTGGGAAGGTGGCTCAGTGGTAGAGCGCTTGCCTTGCATGCATGAGGCTGTGAGTTCGATTCCTCAGCACCCACATAAGCAAAAAAAGAAAAAGAAAAAAAAAGACTTTAACTTGGCTTTTACTTGCAATTCTAGAATGAGATCTACTGAGTAGAGGAGGTTTGCCATAGGGGAAGAGGAAAGCAGACACACAACAAAAACAGATTTATGGGCTTGAAGTTACTTTCCTTATAGGGTTAAAATAAAAGGCTTAAGTAAATCGAGCCCCTTTTGGTTGATTATTGTGAATCTTCTGTTGTTGTTTTTAAAGTAGATTGTTTTAGAATTCAGTTTAATTATGAGGCATCTAGCACATTTTTTTTTTCTTTTTGGTCGTGGGCCTTGAACTCTGGGCCTGGGCACTGTCCCTCAGCTCTTCAGCTCAAGGCTAGCACTCTACCACTTGAGCCACAGTGCCACTTCTGGGTTTTTTTCTGACTGGTTTATTGGAGAGTCTCATGGACTTTCCTGCCCAGTCTGGCTTTGAACTGCAATCCTCAGATCTCAGCCTTCTGAGTAGCTAGGATTACAGGCATGAGCCACCAGTGCACTGCTGTTTTTGCAAATTTTTGACAGATTGCCTTAGTGCTTATTCAAAATTAAATGTTTTTCTTTCTTCACTGCCTCTGTGGAGACTTTTTATGGGGTAGGAGATTCTGAGTTTAATATTTCTCAACACCAGTTGAAGAGTTCAGGAAACACTGTCTCTTTGGTATGCTGACGGTTTAAACTGAGGGCTGGAACAATGACCAGCCTGTATTGGTTACTGAATAAATATATGAGTGAATGGGTTTAAAGGCATCAGTGGGCTGGGCACTGGTGCCTCATGCCTGTATTACTTCTCTGGAGGCGGAGATCTGAAGATTGCAGTTCAAAGCCAGCCAGAGCAGGAAAGCTGGAAACTCTTTTTCTTATTGTGAAAATACCATACAGAGGGGTTACAATTACATGAGCAAAGTCTGAAACTCTTATTTCCAACTAACCACCCAAAAGCTGAAGTGGAGCTATGGCTCAAGTGGTAGAGTGTTAGCCTCGAGTAGAAAAAGCCAAAGGATAGCATCGAGGCTCTGAACTCAAGACCAAGTACTGGCAAAACAAATGAATAAATCAACAAATGTGTTGCTGGTGTTGTGTTGCCTGACCCTCCTATACCTTGTGTCAGCATCACATTTGAAATTGTATTATTTTTGGATGGTAACAAGCTTCAGATGAACCAGCTGGGGGACAAAACAGCCCAGATGTCTTAAATCATATTAACAACAATGATTATATCCTAATGAAAAATAATGTGTCCCAGTATCCTCACAAAGAGGCACTCAGAGGCCTTCCAAGATTTGGGTCCCTCTTTGATAACTGATAGTTGCTCCCCAGCCAGAGATGGGAGAAAAGAGGAAGTCTTATCTGGCTCCCTTTGCCTTCTCTTCTCCATCTTTGCCTTCCCAACATCTCTAAGAAGTAAGGGTGTGAACCTGTTGATACACAAGGAAGCAGGTTGAGGAGTTAATATCAATTGGCCACAGTTTTCACCGTGCCAGTCTCAGGTACCAGGGCTCAGGAGCCAACAGCATTGGGTTCATTGCCAACAGCATTGAAACTCTTCATTACCTTTGCTTGAAGAGCTGTTGGCAGAACTAGAAACACAGCCTGGAGACACAGCACCCATGGGTGCTGAGGTGTCACCTGAGTGAAAGGTAGGGCATATGGGTGGCAATCATATTGGACTCTTTTCCTTCTTCTCTTGTTTGTTTTTCTTCTCTTTCTTCTATTTAGTATTATCATACATAACATCATTTATAATAAACTTATTTTATTACAAAGTCCCAAATGCAACCTCTTCTTTACTAATGCCATTTCCAAAGTAGATACAAATTCAAAACAATTGGGGAACCTTCCTCCTCCCTCACAGCATATGTGCTCTAGTCCCAACACCTTGATTCAATCTACTGTTTGTTCTTTCCATTACACGGATTAAGGAATAGGCTAGAAAAATATTTGGAGAACTAGGACTCAACCCACCCAAATAATGGCTATTGTCCAAAACATAAATAGCCAAGAATTGTCAAAGTCATGGTATCTGGGCAAGCAGGTGACACTTCTGGACTGCCCAGGACAGCCAAGACATGCTATTGACAGTTCACAGAAGGCTTGCAGCTTCCCAGCTCGCAATCCTGTAGTGACAAGCTTTCAAAAATCACCTGCTCACTCACGCTTCAGTTCTATTGCTCCCTTGCCTCTATGTTTAGATTTTTTTGTTTTTAATTTTGCAATCATACTCTCTTCCAAGTTTCAAACTTTAGCAAGCGTTAGAAGATTTTCGTTGTGTGTGTTTTTTGTTTGTTTGTTTGTTTGACTTTTGTTTTCTTGCAGTGCTGGAAATAGAATCCACGTTCAAGGATTCCATAGATTCAAGTGTCTGGTGGATGTTCACTTCCTGGTAGCTCATAGATAACAACTTCTTGCTGTGTCCTTACATGGTGGAAACAGTGAGGGAGCCTCTCTTGGGCTTTTTTATTTTATTTTATTTTATTTTATTTGCCATACCTGGAACTTGAACTCAGGTCCTGGGCTTTGTCCCTGAGCCTCTCTGTGCTCAAGGCTAGCGCTCTACCACTTAAGCCACAGTGCCACTTCTGGCTTTTTCTGAGTTGTTTATGAGAATCTCATGGACTTCCTGCCCAGAGTGGCTTTAAATGGTGATTCTCAGATCTCAGCTTCCTCATTACCTAGGATTTTGGTGTGAGCCACCAGTGCCCAGTTTAGGCCTTTTTTTAAAATGAGGGCATGGCACTTAATCATCTTCCAAAGACTGTACCTTCTAATACTGTTATCTTGGGGTTTAGGTTTTGAACATATGGATTTGGGAGGGGGGCACTGCCACACAAGTATACTCAAACTTACATCATTTGATGAACACAGAAGCATTCTACTAGAGATTGGCAAGTCCGGATATGACAATTGGAATAGTGTCATTTTGTCCCCAGGAGGACTGAACTCCTGAGCTTAGCAGTTTTCAGGTTAGTCTGAGGTGACAGTCTATAGATTATGATTCTACAGTTTGGATCTTGAATGTTCCCTTAAGGCTCATGTGTTGAAGGCTTGTTTCCAACTTATGGAATTATTGGAAGATGATAGAACCTTTAAGCAGTGGAGCATCACAGGAGAAAGTTAGGTTAGTGTGGGTATGCTCTTAAAGGGGATCTCTCTCTCTCCTTCTCTCTCTCTCCCTCCCTCCCCCCTCTCTCTAGTTTCCTCTCTCTGTTCCTGGCCTCCATGAAGTAAATAAGTCTCCTTTGTAATGAACTCCCATCATCATAGTGTGTTGTGCTGCCACAGGCCCCAAGAGACAATGGATTGAAACCTCTGAAATTGTGAGTCAAAATAAACCTTCCCCATTTATGAGTTTCTTATCTCAGGTACTTTGTTACAGCATAGAAAGCTGCCTAATGAAGAGATCTACTGAGCATGGCATGACAGATATAGAAACACTAGGTTTCTGGTGAACTCCTTAGTACTTGTGATAATCATTATCCTTAAATTTATTTTGAAGTGTGTTTTTAGCTATTTACATCTGAAAACATCTTAACTGATGAAGGGAGTCAGTTATGTGGCCCAGGACAAACTCTAATTTCTTTCCTTCCCCTCAGCTGGTGTCCTTCTCCTCTCTTTTTTAATTTTTATTTTTTATTATGAAAATACTGTACAGAGGAGTTACAATTACATGGGCAAGATAATGAGTGCATTTCTTATCAAGCATTGTTGCCTCTTCCTTTGTTTCTCCTTCCTATCCCTTCCCATATCCCGCCCCCCCACCCCAGATTCCCTCCCCTTCCCCCCCCTCCCCTACCCCCGGCCAAAGTTGTAAGGTTCATTTTTTGACATAACAACTTGTACGTCTCATTGTTGCAATGGGTCCACCTGTATCCCTATATAAACGATTTGTTTTTTCCCTTCCCCTCCACAAATTATACCAACATGAAATATAATGAAAGCAGGGGTTATATCGTGGGGGAGAGACATACAAAGCAACAAAGAAATAATCTTATAAATATGTTAGAAACAATCGCATGAAAGTAAAACATTTGAATACTTATCTTGGGGTTCATTTCACCTAATATCAACATATCTGACCTTTTCTGCTTGTCTCAGACATATACTAGTTATTACAAATAAGGTCTCCTCTCTTCTTGCCACATCAACTTCATGTCCTTTGAGGAGGACATGTCCCTGTCTGAGAGTTCTGCCCATGATCCCAGCAATTTCTCTCCTTCCTGATCCTATAGGTAGGTATTGGCCAGGACTCCTTATTCTAAACACTGGCTCCTCACCTAGACCACTGTCTCTCCCAAGTTATTTTTTTTGGGAAAGGGTCTGTTGTGGGGCCTGAACTCTAAGCCTGGGCACTGTCCCTCAGCTCTTCAGCTCAAGGCTAGC